ACTCACCGCTGAATGGTGATCGCGAACGCAGGTCCCGCACGGATGATGACATCCTGGGCGTCCTTGTGGCGCAGATTGAACACGTCCGTGTTGTTGATCTTGATCACGGAGTCCCCGGCGAGCAGACCAGCACGATCAGCTGGAGAACCATTGTTGACCTGTAAAAATAAATCATTATTTAATCAACTGTCAAATATTTTGATTGTTTGTCAGTGATTTTACAGCAAAATGTCGAAAAATATTCAAGAGAAACTGAAAAATAAGAAATCGAATTATACCTTGCTACAGGACCTTAGAAATCTGTTGAAAAATTATGGTCAGGAATGTAGTTTGACTCCTGTGGAGTTTATTGAACAAAAACTTGCTTCTGGTGATATTTCTGAAGACATGGGATCTATGTTTATTCGTTTGTATAGGCATAGAATATTTTTGGGAACAGTTAAAGATATTTTTCGTGATTATTTGATAGAGAATAACACAATATCAAAAAGACAAAATTTAGAATCGGAGGAAATCATAGTAATTTTATATTTAGTTATTTTTGAGTTATCTGCTGGTAACTGGAAGAATATCTACGATAACCTCCAAAAAAATATGATAATCTTCGATAGAGTAACACAATTTTTTAATAATGAAGAAAGCTTGATTAAAGTAGTTGAAGAAGGATGTAAAATTTACGATAAAGAATATTTAATTGAAAATGTGCTTAGTAAAATTCTCCAAAATGAATCTACACTTAAAAGCATGACCAATACATTATCACAAGACTTAGAAAAAAAGAAACTCGCAGGAAAAAAATCTTTGACAAAACCTTATGGACCTTCTTTATTAGACAGAAAAACTGTTCCTGTAAAAACTGAAAAAGTATCACGTCCCCCACCTTTTGAATCAACACCTGTACCAAAAACCACTTACAAACCTAATGATCAAGAGAAACTTTTGGAAAAAGCAAGAGCTAATAATCGCAAAATGGCGTATGAGTTACTAGCAGAAGCTAAGAAACTTAACCTAAAATGTGCTGAACCTAAAGCACTTCCAAAACCATCTACTCCTGTTGTTTATAAACCTATTATAGCAAAACCACCTCCTAAATTTGATCCAGTTGAAGTAAAAGCAACAACAGCTTCATTAATGAGACAAGCTGCTTTCTTAACCAAAGAAAAAACAGCGGAAATCAAAGAAATTGAGAGTTTAATCAATGGAACACTTGGAGACATGACAAATTCAACACTTTTGGAAGAATTACGTCGAGCTAAAGAGAATGAATTGTTACAAGATATCGAACGTAAACATTTACAAGGTTTATTAACTAGAGAAGAAGCTATTTTGGCAAAACAAAGACTTTTTCAAAAGAATCAACTTAAAAAGCAGCAATATCAAGAAGAACGGATTAAATTATTAGAAACTATTGATAAATATCGACGCAAAGAAGAAGAGAAGAATCGGGAACTTGTGGAAAAAGTACAAGCGATAGAAAACGCCGCAAAAGACGCAGAAGTGAAATTATTAAAAGAAAGAAGATGTAATGCAAAGCTAATCGAATATGAAACACAAATATTACTAAAACAAGCAAATGAAGAACGTGAAGAAGAATTGACGAAAAAGATTCAAATAATCAAAGAGTTAAAGCTCCTGCAACAAATTAACGCTGGCAATAACAAAGTGGAATTTGATCCGACAGAGACAAGTAATCTAGGGTTAATGTGTGAGATGTCTATTGCTGAACTCCAGGAGAGATTAGCCCTGCTCAAGGTCACGATGAAAGAAGAATTGGAAGAACGCAAAGCTAAAATTTTAACTGAAAAGAAAAAACAGCAAACTATGCTTGAGCAGATGAAAGAATTCGTTGAAACTGCTAAGGGGCAAAAGTGTAAACCTTCTGAACATAAACAAATACCAAAATTTGATAGA